GTCCTTTCTCACCCATCCTCCGCTTCTGCCGATGCATCGTAGTTACGAAGACTTGGAAGCTGCTGGTCTGAAAATTGTATTTCCTTCACACGATAGATCAGTCATAAAACAGAATCAGAGTCTTTTGGAACACATGCATCTTGTGAAATTCATTCCAGAATTCGAAGAGTGGCTGAAGCTTCGTTCACGCATGAATACAAAATATGTATATCCTGTGTCGAATATTCGCTGGGAGATCTTCGAATTCCAACAGAGTTTCTTCAACCGGCCCATATTCTACTTCAATTCCGACTTGTGCTTGTACAGAAATACGTTTGTCTGTATGCCCATTCGTACAGACCTGCCCTATCGCGATTTGTTGGACGACTTTGTGCTGCGTTTGCATTCTTCGGGTATTATGAAAGAGTGGGTGTCTTTGAACTTTTTTGTGCTGGCGAAACTAAAAAGGGTAGTGTTTCTGGATTTGAGCAAACCGTTCAACTATGGACGCCCGTTGGTGGTGGATGATTTCTTTTGGATTAAAATGCTGTATATCGGAAGTATGTCGTTGGGTATGCTGGCTTTTTTAGGCGAAATTTTGTACTACCGTTCGAAGTATGATTACCAAATTGCATCAGCATAATAAAGAAGACAATAAAGAAATGTGTGTGTTTTTTGGGGGGTTGGGGGGGCATATCCCCCCCCCCCCATGTTACTACGCTAGAAGTTATTTTCATTTGTTGCACTGGTTTACATCAAAAATGTTCTATGGATTCCACTATCCAATTTCTATGTAGAATTGCTCGGTGAGATTCCGAAAATCGAGTTAAGTTTTTTTCTATGGATACGTTTTCATGATATTTGCAATTTACAGTTATTCAGCTTAAAACAAAACGTGGTTCCACTTAATCACGTATATCTTGTGAACAAATTTAACAATCAAATCTCCATACACTATGCATACATCACTTTCCGATAGGACTGATAATTTCTGGCAAATTAATTAATCATCCCAGTTTTTTTTATGAAAAAATTTTTAAAAAAATCTAAATTTAACAGAAGAAAATTTTAAAAAATAGCAGGTACTGTGCCCAATTTTCGCATTTGCGCTAAAGCCACGTACACCTGAGTAACACGCCTTTCTACTCATATTTCATGCAAAAAAACCTTGCGCATTTTCATTTGAGCACTCATTATTTTTTATTTATCCATCGTTATCTTCATTAGTAACTTGTGGTTTTTTTGTAACAGATGCAACAATTTGGCACGGAAAATTTTTATCACTGAAGGCTAATGTATAATCAAAAACCAGAAATGGCTCCAAATTTTGGTTCAGTTAAGTGGGTTGCCCTGAAAAATCTTTTTCAGTTGCCCTTGCCGTTGTTTTGTTACAGCATATCGCACATTTGCTGGAAGAGTTTCATAAGCCAAAAAATCAAAAACTCGAGAAAAACGGCTTTTCAGCTTTGAATTTATATCCTTATTTACTAAAATTATAAATCTGAAAGTGATTCTGTTTGTTTGTTATGCTTTCACGCTTTAACTACTCAACCGATCATTATGAAATTTTGTACACTGGTGTCCTTTAGCCTAACTTAAAATATAGTAGGGAGTTAATCTCGATTAGACGAGGGGGCGTGGCACCTCCCCATAAAAACATAATTTTTCATACTGCACATATCAGGAAATATTTGTGATAGAGTACTGGAGCTTGGTATGGGGATACACTAAAGCACTTCCATACTCATGGAACTGACTCAACTTGAAGTAAGGGAATTATTTATTTGAAAATTATATTAAACAAGTAAGAGCAGCGCTGTCTTCGGCTATGCCGAAGGCTTCATACCTTTCATGAACATCTGCAAATTTTAGTTTGACAGATTACTGATTTTGAATACATCTGCATACATCGATAGAGGAGTTACATACTTATA